GAGTATTTCAAAAACCTTGGAAACTGAATTAACTATTGAAACAGGTCTGTAATTGACAATGTCCCGTCGAGCTCCACTTTTAAATATCGGGATAACCTTGCTCATTCGCCACACCCTCAGGTCTTCAAACTAAGATTAATAATAATAATATACATCAAAGGCTGTAGTAACAATTCACCACATCTCTTAATAATATAACCGCAGACCGTCCGGCCCAATAGCTCTATTCCCCCTTAACTTTTTAAGCGCGGCAAGGACTTCTTCCACTGTAAAAGGCAAATCACAAAAATGATCCTTGAATGAATTACTCTCGAAGCAATATTCTTTGTACCTACCAGAGAACAGGATATTATTGTAATTCACCTCAGTAGGAATATCAGAGTCATCCTTTCGTTCCTTGATATAAGACCAGAAATACTTTGGATTCTGATTCAGACTCTCTTCTACTCTATTTAAGTATTTAGTATAGGCCAATTTAATTCTCTTTTTAATTAGGGTTCTAATATTCCTATATTTACTTTGCCAGAAAGAAGACTTAATTGGTGGATTTGAACTTTCTAAAATAGGTTTCCTTTTGTTTTATTAGTTATGATTTTCCCATTATATCAAACAGGAAATGTTCGACCAAGTTGTGTTGACAAAGGAACACATTTAATAAATACGGCATGCATAATATCATAGAACTTACTTAGTACCTCATTAACACAAGTACATAAAGACTCTCCCATTTCTGATTTAAAATTAAACTATACATAAGGTTGAAATTTGCTTTTTTGAAATTAAATTTTGCATTTGTTAACTTCTCACATACACTACATTCATTATCAGAGTCAAATCTTGCAATCAATGCAGGATGATACTGATCAACATGCAACAAAGGTTTATCATCAATATTTTCCTTACCCCCCTGTATACGAGCGCTAACCAGTAATAAATCTAGATTACATTGTGTATATTTCTTATATTATCAATCTGTACGAAACTTGAAACCTTTTACGAAGTCACGAAGATTAAAATCGCCTGCAATAATGCAGTCACCATCAACAACTCCTGTCCCAATACAATCATAGAATTTTCTATATGAATTAAGACCGCTACCTACAAAGTATACAACTACCACATACACAACCGTTCTATGGTCAAAATTAATTTTTACACACAAAGCCTCTAGATCATTATCAAAAATATCATAATCGCAAGCTACAAGACCATCTTTAACTGCAAGAAAAACACCACCCCCTTGTTTTTTGCCTATCAGCTCATAGTTTCTGTCTTTTCTAAAAATAGATCTGTTACAGTTAAATTCTGAATTATACAGTGTCATTACTTAAGGGTATTGAATGCGCCGTTTAAAATATATTGTAACGCACGTCGAACTATACGACTCCCAACAAGTTAATGCTAATAAAGATGCGAGGTTCATCGCGATTATTACATTGGGCTACTGTTGGGCCGGTTGGCCTTGGATCCTTCTTGATAGCGATTTAAAATTTATCGCAAATCAGGCGGAGGAAAGAGCCATAGGGTTTGCTGCGGGTATAACAGAGACAGGCAAAAGACAAGAAGAATTAAGTTAATTTCTACAAAAAAAACTAGATGATTTTTGGGATTCTGGTTTGTGCTATTGTATTGCTAACACACATAAGATTGGCGCTAAATAAAAAAGACACCATAAACTGATTAATTTTCTCGTTTTTTTCCAGTTTAAATTACATTTTTGTAATTTTTCGAGAACTCGTTTCTATTACCGGATTTCTAAAAAGATAGCGCCATTCTTCCCTATATTATAAATCGAATGCGAAAAAAAAATTTGATATAACTTCAACTGCTAAAAAGTTACGTTGAAACTAAGAACGCAATGCATTCCTTGTTTCATTCATCTCATTCCCACTAAGGAGTATTAATAGGGAGGGAAGAATACAATGATAGACTGCCTTAGGTGCTTCGCGCAGGAAAAAATATTTTGGCATCGAGGCGCACTCAATCCCCTTAAGTGTGCAACATATGGGATTTTTTTTTAGTAATAGCACAATCAAAATATAAACAAGGCCAAAAGTTGGTGCATGTCTGATAATCATATTAGGTGCACTTAGAATGGTTGCAAGTCAAACAGCATACAGGGTAGCTCAAAAAATATCAAAATTGTAGTAATATTTACTTGAATAAAATAAAACTTTTGCAAATGATAGTTTATAAAAATCTAAGATAGGAATGTAAAATCGGTTTTCCTCTAAAATTAACCGTTCAGGTTCTACAGCCTGTCAAAGTTGCAAAAAGTCAATTTTCAACTGTCAATATTTCCAAAACAGTTGAACTTAGGTATAGGGTATATCACATGAAATCTGCTTAGAATTTTACGTAGAATCCAAATATGCAATTTAATACGGGGTGTTCCATTTAAAATAGTGATTTTGCCACTAGTTTAGAGTAGAAGCGGCAACACCGCATGGTCAAAAATATTTTTAAAGTGTAGATCATGGTCGTTTATCCCGGTTGCCAAATTTTCAAAATGATCCGCTTTTTAGTTCTCCATAAACGTCTAATACGACATCCACCGTGGGACACCCTGTATATAGATACCTAATTAGATAAAGGAAAAATTAAATTTAAATGAAATATTCAAAGTCACTAAATTGCATTATAAAAAATGTCATAAAACTGTAAAATAAATAAGACGATATACATCAATAAAACAAACGAACATGTAAGTACAAGAAAGGTGAAATAAAATGATAAAACAACAGTCACACCAAATATGTCTAAAAATAAAGCCTACAATACATAAAGGTTTACTTCCTCATTAAAATTTAAAAAGTCTGTCTAAAATATAGTTTATAGAAGAAACAGTCACAACCATACCAGTCTAAAAAGTTTTGGAATAAAAATCGTTCAAAGTATAATATGCTCTGTCCTGTAAAAACAATTTAACCTTTCTCGAAAAGAATTTAATGTCCTGAATACTTCTATACACTCGAGGTGAATGATTATAAATTTTTTGGCTCTCATAAATCAGTGAATTCTTAGTAAGAGCACTTTTTGGTATTGGAAGCCGAAGATCACCGTCAGCTCTAGTACTGTAACCATTTCCATATTCCTTGTTTTTATATTTTTTATGAATTAAGATTAACCACAAAAACCACCCGTTGCTCTCTATCATGTAAATATGAATCAAAGAAACCTATCAAATTATCACTGAACCCAAATTCTGCATAAAGTTTTCTTAAGAGAACATTGTGTGACACCCGCTTTTGCAAAATCACTGTATATCACATTAACTTGTCATTTGATATCGAAAACCCTCAGATACTTAGATTCTCAGATATGTATGGTGTAATGTGACATAAATTGGTGGCTGTTGACTTTTTGCACAGAAAATCATGTTGTTCAGGATTAATTTTATTTACTACTGAAATATACACATATTTATAAATTATACTTTCGAATACTTTGGCAGGGCAAGATTATAATGGAACGGGCCTATAGTTTTTGATATCTGATTTGTCGTCCTTCTTAAAAACAGGGATTACTTTTGATAACTTCCAAATATCTGGTAAAGTGTTTGTTTTCAGTGTCATTATTGTCACTAAAGGACATATTGAAAAACTTCTGCTGCAGTAAATGTACAGTTGCGATCAAAAAAAAGTAGTACAAGAATTATTAAACCTAATTTGAGCTCCCAGTGTAACATACAAAATTTTAACAATAAATAAACATTTCAAAATATGTTGGGTTCAGGCGATGACATATTCTAGGTTAAAAACGGGTGGAAAAATGCCAAAATAATGTCATCCGAAGCTTTCTAAGTTAAAAACTTGTCGAAAAATGCCAAAGTAATGTCATTTTTGGTTATAAATTTAATTATTGTATGATAGACCAGGAGATTTTGGAGATTTTTGTTGTACTACTTTTTTTTGAACGCAACTGTACACTTACTTGGGATTCCTTTTCAATTGACTTTAATTTGGTCCACATTTGACATGACAATAAATGGGTTAACGGACCAACTTTTAAAACAATTAATTCTTGAGCCTTAGCTTTCAAGGTCCTCTCCAGCAGATGAAGGTTTCTGTTTTTCACCACTAGCAAAATCATAAAGCCCTCTCCCTTTTAATATGACTCTTGTCTGAAACTCCCACAACACCCAGCTTTTATTGCCTTGGTCCTACTCCATCATAATTTTCAACAACCGCTCGACCCAACTTGAAGGACGTACCTGCCTTTCACAGTACAACAAAAGTTTCTCTTCTACTTTTGTTTTTGGCCCCCACACTTAAATACTATCAGCTTTTATTTCTATCTATGTCTGGGCCCATAACCACTTGGATTGGCAAAAATATAGACTGCATTGAACAACTAATTACATATTTATTTCAATGAGAAGTCACATTACAAAAACTAAATGATGATTACTTGACACACACGGCATTAAAAAAAAAAAACAACTTTCACTATATCTACTAGATTTACCATTGTTTTTAACGCACTTTTTTAATTTTCTTTTTTTTATTTTGTTTAATAGGTAAAGTATTAATTATTTTCATCGATTCTGGATCAATCATATTAGAAAATATAGCTACTTGCTTTTCTTTAGGTTCATTATTTAAAGCTGTTGCAACCATATAAATATCACGAGCTTGTTTAAATTTTTCCAATGGGTTTCCACACAGAGTCAGAGGATCCTGGCGAAATAAAATTAATTGCTGGCATTTTTGCAGCATCGGTACCATGGGCCCATAACCATACCACATCAGGTATTGTTTACCAGGTAATAATAATTAAAAGTATGTTTATGTATCATATACATATAACAGATGTAATATTTTTGGGTACAGTCACGTGTCTTTTACATTAGTAGTTTATTTTGTAACTCTTATTGAAATGACAAATACAATTCTAGTAGCGACTTCCTACACTGGAAATCCTTCATTTTCGCCAGTTTCAGATAAGAGTTTTTAACACCATCCAGAAACATATAATTCAACATTAAAATTCCTTTCCAGATTGTTGAAGGTCAAAATCCAGTAGGCGCGGTGGGCCAATACATTCTCGTCCAAAGAACTGGCGTTGTCGACCAACACAACAACGTCCCTCGATCATCTTCGGCACCTCCAGCCCAACAACCCACCATAGCAGCAGGTCTCAACAACCCACCAGTAGGCAGCATGTCCCAACTAATGGCCGGCAGAGGGCGTCCGGCCAGCGTCGAAGCCGACCACCCGACAGTACAACAACCCAACGACTTTATCGTCCAATGTCCGAACCCTGGTACCCAAGCGGTTACGCGCCGCCAACGGTTACCGCCCGGAGTGGTTTACGGCGACGTCAGCATCGAGAGCCACTTGAACAATTACACGATAATCGGCGGCGAAAATGTTATTACGGCCGACCATCCGGCGGCCGTTATGCAAAACCAGATGGCGGTGCAACAGCCCAAGCATCACCATCAGTTGGATTCGTGCGCCTGCAACCTGAAAGCGATGGTCGTGTGCAAAAAATGCGGTGCCTTTTGTCACGACGACTGTATAGGGCCGAATAAACTTTGCCGGACCTGCTTTATAAGGTAGGTTAGGAATTTGTCGGTTTTGTTTGTTGGCGTTTCTTAAGGCTCGTTTCTGTTTCTTATCGGATATTGCCAAGCAGATTTTTAAAGGCGGTTTTACATTTTGGATACTTTTTCTGTTGTAAATACAGTGAAGTCTGGAATTTGCTCACTATGTCCAAAATTACAAAATTGGTCTTATGGAAATTTGGAAAAGCGTTTGTTATAACTCTTAAAACGGGTTTGCTATATCCGAACTTCACTGTACTATAGTTGGCAGCACTGAATATACAATATACAAAAAATATCAGTTGGAAATTTATGAACATTATGGTACTTTGAATTGATAAACTTCATGCTATTTGGGCTTATTTTGTATACTTCACTGGTTGACATTTTTAAGATTTCATCAAATTTACTTTTGTTCAACACTGTGTCGACATAAAGTACCTACTGAATGTTTTGATTGTTCATATCCAAGAGGCTTTTATTTATTTGAATCAAGTCAAATCTCTTATTTGCAGCTGGTTTTTAATAGAAGTTCTATAAGGTTTCTTGGCTTTAAGAATTGAATACATTGTCAAGGATTTTGGCTTGAAAACTTTGATAAAATGCAATATACAAATGTAAAAGGGTCTATTTGGCGTTGCCGATTTGTTGCAGGAACAAGGCTTAACTCTAGCTAGTAGTTTTGTTGTTGAAAATTTCCAATATAGTCTATTTTTTAATGTAGACTTTAGCGTTGGCTGTACATTATTATTACTGTGTAAATTTTGGAGCCGATCGTACACATACTTTTCCTTTCTTGTTCTTGTGCTACATTTGAAACATAATTTTATTTTGTATTTGTGTAAGTAGCCCTGCCATTTATTGTATCCTTTCCAAAAAAACAATAGTTTATAACACAAGGTTAGCTATTAGAAACATGTTTGCTGGTTCTTCTCACCATGTTTATTTATTTATTTATGTATTCACGGAATACCCGCAGCATATTGAAATACAAGTTAATTCTAGATAAACAATATCAGATTTAAATCTCATCTCCGTTCAATTTTTGACTTATTTTAAGGTTTCTTCCACTCCTATAGAGTTTAAAAACTTGTTGCTAATCCTTGGATAATTTCTATTGAAAAATAGTTTGCATAAAAAGTATCAAAAATTACCAATAATAACTTCCACTTGCGTAAAATCAAGCTTTTTTCTAATACATAAATAGTCCAGCAGGTAAGTACTTTCTGCTGGAAAGTATTCCGAAGTTAATGATATCTTGGTATATCATTTGTGGGTAGTCTGTGGAGTAAAATCTGAGTTTTCGACCTCGAGGAACCTGTACTCACTTGAGGGGAGTCGAAAAACCACGAAATTTTCGAACTTTTTCAGTTTTTTATTTATATTTTCTAAACCATGCGTTTTGGTAATGATAATAATAATCCTTTATTTAGCAAATACACACTAGTTTACAAAAATTTACAGTTTTACCATTTTACAAAGCAAAGTACATTACTAACAGAAACAATCAATCAATATAAACAAGGAATCATAACAAAACAATCAAAAACATCATTGCAAAATACAACTGTACAATTATTAAAATGGACAAAGACAAGAGTGAAAATTGATAAAATGGACAAAAACCTGATAAATATGTCTCGTTAAATGTACAAGGACTATGCTGATTTAGAAAACAAGATTATTTACCCTAACCAAAAACAATTTCCAATTTTTCTTGAAACCATTCAGAGATAAACTATTTTTAATATTATTAGGTAACTTATTGAAATCATCCAGGTATCATCAGCGAAAAGATGTAATCCCAAATTATGCTCATCATTAACTACATCCACTATATCTTTCACATAAAGCACAAACAAAATAGGGCCCAACACACTCCCTTGCGAAACTCCCAATTCTTTGGAAATTTGCTCAGACATTTTTCCATTCAATTTTACAAGTCTGTCTTCTGTTATTTTCTTATTTTTTCCTGGGCTTATCGTTGTCACTTTTTTCTCTTCAGAAGATGGAGCTATTAAATTTAAAATTCGACGTTTCGTCTTCAGGTGGCCATCATCGACTTACTTTTTTTAAATACGGACCTGGATTTTTTATTTGCGATTTTGTCATCTTTGGGCATCCTAAAACCGATATTGTTTATAATCTTTCAATAACACAGTAAAAAAAGCAGTTCCGTATTTAAAAAAAATAAATTGATGAAGTTTCCAGACGAACGAAACGTCGGATTTTAAATTTAATACCACCATTTTGTAGAGAAGAAAAAGTGACAGTGTCGATATTAAATTAGGTTTTCACAATCTTTTTGAATATTATCAGGAAAAAATATAAACTATACGAAAAAAACATAAATTTCTCGTATTTTTAAATTTTTTTCTTGATTTCATTTACAAAGATTTTGAAAAACTAGTTTCGCATTCCCATTGTCACTCGAAGAAAATTAACCCACTCGCTAGGGCTCGTGGGTTAAACTTTCTTCTCATGAATAAACATTCATTTAACTCACTTGGTGTATAAATAACTATTTATGAGGCTTGATAAATGGTTGGCTATATTGCAATAAAAGTTATTTAAATCAGTAGCGTTTAATTTGGAACCCAAACATTCCTTGAATCACTTATTATCTCCTCGAAGTTCATTTACAATTTGCCAGGCTGTCTTCTGCTTGTTAGAAGAAGACGTAATTCTCTTAACATAATAAAGTTGCTTAGTTGCCTTTATAATTCTACGATATATTGATTTTAACTTATTGAAATAATTTACAAAAAATTGATTAGACATATTGAATTTTCTTATATAGTGGAGACATCTTAAATTTTTTGCTGAAACTCTAACTTTCGTAATCCAACTTTTTTTCTGTTTTTTGTTATAAAAATATTTTTGACCATGCGGTGTTGCCGCTTCTACTCTAAACTAGTGGCAACATCACTATTTTAAATGGAACACCCCGTATTAAATTGCATATTTGGATTCTACGTAAAATTCTAAGCAGATTTCATGTGATATACCCTATACCTAAGTTCAACTGTTTTGGAAATATTGACAGTTGAAAATCGACTTTTTGCAACTTTGACAGGCTGTAGAACCTGAACGGTTAATTTTAGAGGAAAACCGATTTTACATTCCTGCTTTAGATTTTTATAAACTATCATTTGACACCAACTTAGAATTAAATCCATGATTAAAAATTTCAGTTAAATTTAATCTCCGGTTAAGTTCAAAGTTGGTGTCAAATGATTGTTTATCAAAATCTAAGATAGGAGTGTGAAATCGGTTTTCCTCTGAAATTAACCAATTAGGTTTTACAGCCTGTCAAAGTTGCAAAAAGTCAATTTTCAACTGTCAATATTTCCAAAACAGTTGAACTTAGGTATAGGGTATATCACATGAAATCTGCTCAGAATTTTATGTAGAATCCAAATATGCAATTTAATACGGGGTGTTCTATTTTAAATAGTGATGTTGCCACAAGTTTGGAGTAGAAGCGGCAACACCGCACGGTCAAAAATATTTTTAAAGTGTAGATCATGGTCGTTTATCCCGGTTGCCAAATTTTCAAAATGATTCGCTTTTTAGTTCTCCATAAACGTCTAATACGCCATCCACCGTGCGACACCCTGTATACAACACACAACTGAAATAGGCGTTCTTCTTTGTGATTTTCAAACGTGTCAATTGCTTTAAATAAATAATGAGAATAAAAGTCCTTGTGAATCATAATGCTTACAGCCCTGTACCCTGCTTTTCTACAAAATATGTCCAAAAGAACATAATTGAAGACCTTGGCAGAAGAAGGGGATATGCCCAAAAAGTTAGTTTTGAGAAAAATGCATTTTAAATATCCAATCAAATCCTGAAATCATGATTTTAACTGTACAAAATTGAAACAATCGTCATATCATGACAAAATTATTTACTTTTGAACACATTAATAAAACAAACTTAAAATTCAATTTTTTTTTTAATAAACCGGTTTTTCTATAAAAAAAAGTGGCTTATCTTTTTCTTGCCTTAAAAATAAAAACATTTCTGATTTTGCCAAAACAGAAACCTTTAAAGAAAACAAAATAGAAAAAATACAAAAACATGAATCATTCTTACGAACTTATCTAATTTTTCTAAAGTAAGAAAATGTACAATGTGCATTACTCATAAGCGTCGCCGTCATCGTCGCTCTTGTTTTCTTGATCACTGTCAACATCAAGGTCCTCAACATTTTCCTCCGAATTCGGATGTTCAACAACATTACATGCTCCAATCTCTTGATAAAAATGAATATATGCCGGTGGAATAAATTTTACTAGCTCAGAAAGATTAGATATCTTTTTTTCATTAAAAGGAAGCAGTTCTTTATATTTCCTTTTCAAATCAGTCAAAGAAATATTATTTCTCATTCCTCTTTTTTTCATTGTGACACTTCTAAAATCTTCGTTAATGACATGTTTAATGAACATTTTATTTGGATCTTCTTGGCATAACTTGAAATGGCTAACCTGACTAAATTTTAGTTTTTCCTTGTCATCCAAAACACTTTTCTTAACAATTTGATTTTGTAAATCTTTAAATGATAAAATATCCTCTTGCTTAATAACAGTCACAACAAACGGATTTGTTCTTTTTGCTTTTTTGACAGCTTGATACCAATCATTCGGTTCATAAACTTGTTTCATGCCTTTTTTGTATTTTTCTATTAATGCAAAATCTCGATCACAAGGAAGGTGAGTATGCCCCACCACCAAAAATCGATGCTCAACTGATTTAAACCATCCATCTATTACCAGTTGCTGCCACAAGCACATAATAGTCCAGTTTTTGTTTTGCCCGGAACAGTTATCAGTATAAACTATAAGATTTTTGTTACTCCCTCTAGTCGTATTTTCTCGCAAATGTTTATACACTATGCTTGCTATTTCATCGCTACCTCTCTTGGCAACATTTTCTGGCCACATGTACATGTAACCTTTGCCTGTGACACAATCATGAATCCCTAGATTGTATACCCAGGCTTTACGTAGATAAAAAGCAGGCCCTACTGTTAAATTTGGGACAGGCAATGCTTGCTGTAAGTCAAATGACAAAAGTATCTCCGTTAGTTTTTGCGTTTTCTATTTCCGTTTTCAAACTGTGCTGCATGGCTTCTGCCCTCCTTTGATGAAGTTCTAATTTTACTTTATTCCGATTTATTTCTTGCGCATCGGCAGAGGGATCGTCAATTTTAATTCTGAGCATATCACAGGTACTACAGGTGTCACTTTTTGGTAGTCTGAAGCCAATATTATATTCCGTACAGAAAATGCGTCTATACTTATCCTCGGATACAGGTGTCAGTCCACGTTCCTCACACCAGTCAATGAAATAGTCTTTGTAAAGTTTCGAAATATTTAAATCGTGGTCAATAAAAACTTTTCCTGGATTTTCTTGTCTACTATAGTGACTGGTATATTTTGGAATAGCTTCTATGTGATTTCTCACCGATTCGAGACGCTCATCGGAAGTTTTGTTTGGTCTATTTTTGTGAATACCACGTTTATCTTTTTCAGGTGTTACTAACCCTCCACTGGACAAAGTTTTGTAGAGTAATTCGATCCTTCTTTTGCTTTTCTGGAGGCCATGAACAGAGAGAAACTCTTTTTTGCATATCTTAACTTGCTCCCCATTTACTTTGACAAAATATTCAACTGATATGTTTCTCGAAGAGGCTTGATTTTTTGTTTTCTTTGGATAGGATCGTTTTTTAGGCAAGGCTTTCATGCAAGCGTATAAATAAATATTTTGCTTATTGTAGTCACCCAGGTCCCAAAATGATTTAAAAATACTCATTTCGCTTCCCCTCAGTAATTCGCGGCATTTTTTTTTGCACGAACATGTTGCTCCCAACCCAACTCTCTGGCACTTATTTCATTTCCTTTCGAGCTCTTGTAACTGTACCCTAAATTTTTTCTTATTTTTGATTTGTCCTTTTTTCTCCATTCTTTTCTAGATTTCTTCCACCTGGAGGGTGTCGCCTTTTCTGGAGTTGGTAGTGTTCCCCTTGAGGTTGTTGGAACAGGTGCAGGGTTTGTTGGGGCGGGTGCTGGGGCTGTTGGAACACGTGCTGGTATTGTTGAAGCAAGTTTTGGTGTAGTTGTTGGAATAGGTGCTTCTACGGTATGATCATCTTCCTGCAAAATTCATGAAATTCTGCAATGAAAAAGCCACAAAAAAACGTGAAATATTGGCCAGGCAAAAAGGGGATAAGCCATTTTTAATTTTTTTCGAGTGCTTAAAATGAAGATTGTAAAATTTTCATTCGAAAAGTATAAGAAACTAAAGTTCTGTAATATTATAGTAAAGAAAAAACTTGCTTAAATTGTCTATGTTTTCAGAAAAAACCAACCAAAAAAATCAAAAGATATGCCACAAAAAATACGCCAAAAAGGAGATAAGCCACATTTTTTTCTACTTACCTGATCTGATGAATCCAATGAAGAACTATCGCTACTTCCACTTTCCACATAATCTCGGTCCATTACGCTATCATCTGAGCCATATATATCACTATTTTCACTTCCAGAAGTATCATAAAAAAATAATTTTCGCTTAGCTGCACGAGCACGTGGCTCCGCCATTATTAAAAATGTGTGGCAAATCCCTTTCTTGCCCAAAAAATATGCTACTTTTTCCTTTGAAGAAGAAGAAGATTTTGAGATCCTAGCGCCCTCTGTCGCCTGAACGCTATAATATTTTTTGGGGACCACAGACATCAAATTTATGATAGAACGGTGATCTAATCTCGATTTCGCCAAAATGTGGCATATCCCATTCTTCTGCCAAGGTCTTCAATTATCTATGAATAACCGTTCATATGGTTTCAACCAGTGTTCACATAATAATACTATTGTCGGGTTGCTTAAACTATCAACTATCTAATAAAATATTCAACTCAGCTAACTTATTTCTACTAGACTGCATATTTATTAAAACTATGGCGAATTCGTTATTGCCCTGATTGGCTCTAAAAAATTTAAATTGGAAGTCTCAGGTGTGGACCTGGTAGACGGTTGTGTTTTATTAACAACATTTAAGAATTCGCATCTCTACTTATTGTGGGTACAAAGATAAAAAAATTCCATTTTTCTCCTTCAAATTTAATTTAACTTTATTAGTTCTGCTATATTTTCGAAATTCTTTTCTTTTTTTGCTTTAATCAGACAGTTGAGGAGTAAAAATATACCTTCTGAGACCTTATTTACCTTTTTGTCAAAAGATTCAAATTTTTGAAAAAAACTATTAATTCTTTTGGCAATAACGAACTTGGCAGGATGTCCTAAAAATATTATATTTGTTTGTGTACAAAATTTAACTCTATCCCAAATAGCCTTAATTTTTGGTATTTTACCTTGTTGAAACTCATTGGATCCAGCCAAAACAATTACAAAGTCAGACTTAGTGAAGTCCTTAACAAGTTGTTCCATGTTATGTATAACATCCACATAAGGGGCACCAGGTTTAATTATACACTGCACACAATAGTCTTGTTTAAACTTCTTTTCCAGCAATCCGTTTAAACCTCTACCAGCTTTGTCACAAAGAATTAATATTTTCCTCCTTTTGTCCTTTTTTCTGAGCACTTGTTCGGAGTGAGGTATATCAGAATTATTTTCTGGCTTTGCATTAGCCTGTCCTGCATTACCATTAGAGTGTCGATTAGTTTCTAATGGTAAAATGGCATTTACAGATTTTAGTTTGCAAATTATGTCCTCTAATCTATTAATTTCACAAGAATATTGCTGATATTCACTTTTTAAATTCTTTATAGATGTTAACATGCTTTCTGACATCTTACGAAGTTTATCCATATCTGTTTCATAAAACTGTTGTTTAACGTTGGTAACAGTTTGAATACTAAGCAGTTTAAGCTGTATTTCTTTGGTCTCTTTTAAATAGGCTTGATTATCCTTTTCCAGCGTTTCTATTGTGACAACCATGTCTCTGTTAAGGGCAGTTAATTCCTTTATTTTTACTTCTAAAACCTGCTTTGCGTCCCTTGCAGATTTTAGTTCAGCATTTATTTTTTCTTCACTGCTTTTTATTTCCTTAATTTCTTCTTCTAATGCTGTGTTGCTTTTGCTTAATTTTTTTAGTTGTAAAACCAGTGTTTTTTCCGCATTGGAGACCTCTTCTTCAAAAACTTGACTGTTTCTCTTGAGCCTTTCTAAGTACTTAATCCTTCTCTTGGATTTTCTTTTCGAGCGATTCTATCTTTTTCTGAAGTGTCGACAGTTCATCCTCTCGTTTGATAGCATTTTCCTGGTAGGCAAAAGAACAGAAAATTCGATAACCACCCAACTTGATGATGTGTTGAGATTTCTCCATACAGCTGGGGTGAAATATACTATTGCACTCTATGCAGCAAAAATTTGTGAAATCTTTATTTCTGCAACATTTAAAAGATTTCTCCATTATGTTTTACTTCAAAAATAATGACCAATAGAGTCTTACGCTAACGCTATTTAGATGTAGTGCGAAAATGCCTATGAGCGTCAAACCATAAACACAATAATTTAAATATTATCAGCTCAGAGCTTCTTATCAGTTAATCCCATTGTTGTAATTTTCAGTGCAAATGAATATGAATGGAACTCTACTATTGTTTTCGGTTAGAAAGTATTACATCTTTTCACTAGGTTTGATTTCAATGACGGCACTACAAACTACACTTAATAACAAAAAAGTAGATGTAAAGCAGACATTTAAAAAGACAGTATATGCAAGGTAAAAAGTCAAAAAACTATGAAGCACGAATCACGTTTACTTGGAAGGATGGTGCAGTTCGAGTCACTCGATGATCTTGTTACTTCGTTTATAGTGACATAGGCTACTATCATCAATAATTATTTTTAATCTTGTAGGTTAAGTATCGGAAAGAAGCAAATCAATGATAAAGTCACCTGATATCACAGTTGTAGATTGTGGGGGATTCGTTTCGGCTTTTCAGCCGCTCAGTACTGCTACCTTTGCAGATATTTTGTACGTGACTCTACATCTTAAGTTGTCTCCAGGAAGCGTAGACTTCTGCCGAAGGAAGCTATTTTCCTGGGTGTCAGTTGGCCCACTTCTTCTGGCGACAGTGTTGCCCCCTCGAGGAATGTGAGCCCCTTGCAGAATTGGGCTGAACATTCGCAGAGCAGGTGCTCTGCGGTCTCTATTGCGTCTGAGCAGAATCTGCAGAGATCGTCTTCTGTTGAACAATCCACTCGCAGAATTGTCTCCATGATTTCCTTTTTGATTTTCTTAATTCACGGATGTACTTGTCTAGGGCTGTTCTATAGTCTGCCCAGTTGCCGTTAGTTTTTGCCTTGTTGAACAGTTTTCTGGCATCTTGTTTCAGACGTCTCAGCAGCCCGTTCCACCTAGGCACATCCCTGTGGACTGCCTTCTGTTTTACGGGACAACTGTTCTCATAGGAATCTTTTATTGCATTTGTTAGATTGTCAGATGATGCCTCTAGCTCTTCTATTGTATTTATGTCAGAAGGGAGTTCATCTAGACTCAGGCAGAGACCCTCCACAAAGGATACCCAGTTGGTGAGTTTTGGGATTCTCGTCTGTACTGAGTGGTTTATTACTGCCTCTAAGTCGAACCTTATTGCTTGATGGTTCCCCCCAAGTTAGCACAGAGTCTTTGAGGTCGAAAATTTAGATTCTACTCCACAGACTATTCACAAACGACATGCCCAAATATCAATAGCTTCGGAATACTTTCCAGCTACACCTACAGCCCTTTATTTATTACTTGCCTGCTGACCTGAAAATAACATAAATTATTCAGATATACATTTACTCATTTCGCCTGACAAACTCATGACATTGTCACAAGTTTTGTCTCAAAAGAAAACCAAAAAAAAAAAAAAAACATGTCCGTAAATTTTCAGAGTAGCTCTATAAAATCGGGCACAAGTGCCAAGGCATCCAGCCTAGGCACAGCAGATGTTAGTGGCAGCCGAATAATAATACCTACAACTTACGGAGGTTTAGGAATTAGATTTTTTGAGCAACTATCCACAGACGCCGATAAAATCCTACAAGTAGACACCATCAACAATATAACGGAAACCAGAGGTTCGGTTAAAACACGAGCCGTACGTTTAGCAATAGAAATGACAGAAAGAGGCGTAGCTAAAAACGATATAATTCTTATATCGAGTAAAACGCACGCGCATCAGACTATAGTGCTCGTGGCCGCATTATTTCTCGGAGCTATCGTGTGTCCTATAAGCCCGGAATCGCCTTCGAAAGAGTGCCGCGAGTTGGTGAAAAAACTGAAACCCAAAATGGCCTTTTGCGATGGAAGAACAGTGAGTCAAATCGACAAGGTCTTGACTACTCTAGAAATCACTTGCGAAATTGTTTGTTTCGGAAATGAAATGTTGGGTGTTACGCAGTTTTGTAAATTGTTCCCGTTGAAAGAGGAGCCAGACTTTCAGCCGATTTTCATTGATAATCCGCACAAAGAAGTAGCGTTCATCGTACCTACTCAAGGGACTTGTGCCGATCCTAAGTTAGTTTGCTTATCGCATCACAACATTTACTTTCAGTGCCTTCATTTTATGGAAATCTGCGGTGACCCTACAAAAGTAGTTTCTTTTTTTCCTTTGTCCTGGCTGACGCAAACAATATTGGCATGTTCCTCTTTGGAATTCGGGATGACAACAATTATGGCTACAAGTTTCAATGAAAGAAGCGCTTGCAAGATGATTCATGATTTTCGTATAGATTGTGCCATATTGGGTACCGAATTAGCTTTGAGGCTTTGCGGCAACGTGGCCGTAAACGATTTCAATTTAGATTGCTTGAAATGTGTGTTGGTTGGTATTGTCAGTACTACCAAAGAAGATTTTGCTTTTATGCGACAAGTATTGCCAAAAGTGAAATTTTTACAAATTTATTCTTTAACTGAAACTGGTTTTATTACTGCAGTGTCTTCGTTAAACTACGTTGAAGCTTTAGAAAAATCCAATTCAGTGGGTAAATTATTGAAAAATTGCAAAGTTAAAATTTTGGATGCAGAAACCAAGCAACCAGTTGGGGCTGACAATGTAGGCGAACTATATTACTACGGTGATGGTTTGATGTTGGGATACTTTAAAGACACTGCAGCGACGATCGCGCAAATAGACAAGCGCTATTTCAGAACTGGCGATTTGGCTTGTTACGACGCAGACGGCTGGTTGTATTTAGAGGGTAGAATAGACGACGTGTTCGCCTTGGAAGGCCAACCATTTATTCCGACGAAACTGGAACATTGCATCGTCGCCCATCCGCAAATCCACGATGCCGCCGTTATAGGCAATCAAACAGAACTCGTGCTTTGCGTACAAAAAAAGCCAGAAAGCAAAGTGAACTACGACAATCTCATGATGTACTTGTTTAGGAAAATGCCCGAGTTTAACAACTTGATTTCGAAGATTGTTTTCATGGATGAACTTCCCAGGACTAGTGTTGGCAATATTAAGAAGCGTTTGTTGAGGGATCAGTTTTTGCAAGTCAAACTGGAGTATACTACTAGTTTGGCCAGTATCACTCCTACTAGTTGTAGTGCAGATGATGCAATAAGTAAACCTGTGGTTTAATCGTCAGTCTCATTTTTTTTTTTTGTAATAAACCAATAATTGCAAGTTACTACACTTTTTGGGTGTATTTTTTTTTCAAATTTTATTTTCCTTTATTTCAAATTAGGGTTTGCAGATGATATACTGGGTGTCTAATTCGTTTTTACATACTAATGTTAGGATTAAGATTGAAATCCAGTCAGTAAGCAACATTATCATTGTGCACAAAAAATAAATAAGTTAATAAATGGTACAAAAAAAGATAAGCAACAAACAAATTACATGCAAATTTAAGACTAGGATAAATACAACGACAGTTAAGTCAAAATATAACATGCATGCAACAGAAGCAAGAAGGCTTTAGTCCTATATAGAGACATAAACTCATCAACTGTATAAAATGCATGTTGAAGTAGAGTGCTCCTCAAATGGCTTCAAAACCGTGAAATATCTGAGATGTTTCTGATAGTTGCAGGAAGGTGATTATAGAATTTCACGCTGTTGTAAATTATTGAGTTCTTCACAAGAGTAGAGTGCGGAATCGGGAGCGGTATATTGTACGTCTGTCGTGTGGAAAAGGCAGTTTGGTGTACAGGGAACGTGTTTATGTAAGAGACTTACCGATTCAAGTATAAAAAGACATGGCAATGTTGAGATGTTAAATTTTTCAAATAAGGGTTTACAGTGTTCCACCGAGGTGGCACCAGTGATAAATCGCACTGCTCGCATCTGAAGTTTAAACACTGATTAAAATAGGTATTGGCTACAACAGCCCCAAAAAAGTAGTCCATAGGAAAGGTGGGATTGTATCAATGCAAAATACACTGATTTTGCTATGGTTGCATCCAAATTTGTGGCCACAGCTCAGACACAGTAGCAACCACACGCAAGTTTCCCGCCAAGTTCAGTGACATGCGATTGGAATTTAAGATCAACGTCAAATTGAAGTCCAAGAAATTTAGTATTTAGAGAGGATTTAATGGAGACTTCGTCACAATCAATATCATCAACGTTACATAGGAACCCAAGCACCCGAGGCTCACCAAAGTTAAAAAGTAGTCCATTTGCATCACACCAACACTTAATGGCCCCAGAAATCACCTGAACCAGCTCACCAGAACTTCCCCGTGCCACACAACTGTTGAATCATCCGCGAACGCAATGAAAACTCCTGATACATCAAGGTAGAGAATATCATTGATATAGATGAGGAATAATATTGGTCCCAAGACTGATCCCTGTGGAACCCCACGGACAATTGGCTAATTAGAACAACATTTTCCATCCAGGGTGACAAGCTGACTGCGATGTGAAAGATATGATTCGAACCACCTCGAGATCACACCACTAAAACCGTAGATCTCTAACCTCCTCAGAAGAGTTCTGTGACTCACACAGGCAAAGGCCTTTGAGAAGTTACAGCTAGAACACCCCCGCGGTAATAAAGCCATTGTTGTAGAGCTTCAGGAGTTGTTCCAGAACACGAAACATGGCATTGTGGGTACCCTTCTTAGGAAGGAATCCAAATTGGGCGGAGTTAAGAATTTTATGTTTTGATAGGTAGTCCATCATACGTTTTTTCAGAAGTTTCTCAACAACTTTGGATATTGTTGATAACAATGATATTGGGCGATAATTTGATGGCTCTTTTGTATCGGTATTACCAATGCGTCCTTGAGTCTAGGTGAAAAAATGCCCGATGAAAAGTACAGGCTGATTGCTTCCGATAGAACACCAAGGGCCTGTTCCGGAAGTTCCCTCAAGATTTTTATGGATATACCATCTGAACCGGCTGTGGACTGTTTTCTAATGGATTTAAGAACAAATCAAAATATGCTTTATTGTCATAAAAACAATTGTTGTAAACAAAGTCATTCTTAATACTAAAAAATTAAAAATAGAGAACTATGACAACAATATAAAAAAAGCACTTACAACAAAGAAATCGAAACTTATATCTAACCTAAATACAAAAATATCTTAAAATCAAGAACAAAATTTACATTATTATTTGAAGAATCAGAAGTCAAGCCATAAAACCTAATCCAGAAATCCCATGAATAGTCACTGGGGCATTATGAAAAACTAGTCAAACCTGTCAGCATAAAATTTGCCTAAGCTGTAGTAGGCTTTGGTCATTAAAGTCCTTCTTAAATTATTCTTAAAAATCCTAAGAGTGGGAGATCTCCTTACACTGTGTGGTAAATGGTTGAACATTTTGAACCCTTCATAAATTATAACCTTCCTAATAAGAGCTGATAAGGGAATAGGAAGTCGCAAGTGCATATGCTGACGGGTCACATATTCAGAACATTGATTGGCAAATTTTTCCCTATTCGCAAAAATCAGACTGGCAGTCTCCAAGACATACAAACAAGTGAGCGTCAGAATTTCATTTTCAACAAAAAGGGGTCTGCAAGATGTTCTTGGTGATACTCTGTAAATATATCTCACGGCACGCTTCTGAATCACAAACAAAGAGTTAGAGTTAAGCAGGACGCGCACTGAATCGACTCGGACCGGTCGACTCGGCCTAGAGCATTCGGTAGTTTTTGATACTCAGGCAATTAAATGAGACTCCGCGCACGGCATCGGACTCGTCGACTCGACGTGGTCGACTCGAGTCTCATTTAATTGCATGAGTATCAAAAACTACCGAATGCTCTTCGCCGAGTCGACCGGTCCGAGTCGATTCAGTGCGCGTCCTGCTTTACACAGTTGTTTACTTGCGGCACCCCAGAAAGCTATGCCGTAGGCATCAAAACATTCTGCCGCCCAATCTAGCCATATCCTGGACTAGATCAGGGATCAGAATGTCGGGACGGCCTGTTGGACTTATCCGTTAGAAGTGCCGCATGTTTTGTTTATTTGTCGCTCATTGACATTATAATATTTATTCATGATGGAGATGGATGTGATAAAACTACCCACAACGTTTGTTTATTCGAATGTGAGTGAAAACACTTATCGAGCAAAAGGAAAAATAGTACCTACATTATGGCCGTTCGCACCGACCAATTTATGGAAGGCTTAACGATAAGAAAGTATTCCTTAAAGTGACATTTTCCCATGCAAAAATAGGGAGATTTTGGACCAGTGAAAACTGTCTTTTAATTAACGACTTTTGTGGTTATTCCGACTTTGAGCATGCGCACTACTCAAAAAGGAAAGAGGCGGAGCTTGTAACGATAACGAAGGTACTTTATTTAGGGCGAATAACTTTAGCGAATTTTTTCCTTATTTGACACTAGCGACACGCGATTTTCGACTTTATTAGGCAATTTAATCCATCTGTCAAAAAGGAAAATTCAATATGGCGTGGCGGCCAAGCAAGCTTGTTTTGAATAGGTTTTTATGTGTATTTTAAATTATTTTGCTTAGAGTTTTGCTTGTAACTTTGATTTTGATTATTTAATACGATATTTGTTGACTAGGTACCTAAACTATTAAATCGGGCAGAAACTAGATATTTTTTTGTGTTTTTTGGCCCATGTGTGGCCGCCACGCCATCTTGAGTGTCACGTGGTTTGAATTGCCTAATATGCCTTTGACAGCGTAATGTTCTAACCTCAAATATTTTAGTTTGTTTAATGTGGACAATGGCCTATGTGGTTAGTTTTTTTCTGGACGAATTTTGTATTTTTGTTTTGATCAAATACAGGTTCGGGTTCCTCTTGAACTTGCGGTTGTTGTTGCCAATCAAAAACATCTCTCAAAATTATTTGTCGAACAAGATCTATGTTTACTGGTAGGCCTCTTCTATATTCTCTATATTTTCATTCATTTCAACTGCCAGGAAATCACACAAAACAAAACAATTTTACAAAATACAAACGCAGAAAAGAAAAAATAGCGAAAAAGAAAGTCCGAAATATCTTAAGTTAGGTTATAACAAGATGATGAAATAACCACAAATATCGTTATTCATAAATCCACTCCAAAAACTCGTTTTTATTTACCTTCCGTTATCTTGAATGTAATTAAAGTTAACGAATATTTCTGTAATTTTTGATGTTATTTTCACTGGTCCAAAATCTCCCTCATTTTAACGTAGACTTATCGTTAAGGCTTCCTTAAAACAGTCGGTGCAAACGGCCATTAATTTAGGTACTATTTTTCCTTTTTTTATTTCATGTACGTGCTTTTTTAATTAAGGCACACCTAAATCTAAATTTATCAACCCCTTATATTCAAAATGGAAATATTTCTCAATTCCTCCATTTTAATCAAAAAACTAACAATTTAATCAATATATTCATGAAAAATATTCCATAGGGAACACGAATAAAATCTAAATTTCTGAATTGAATAACACGTACAAAAGACAGCTATAGATTCTTCAACATCAAACATTGTTTGTCAAATTTAATACTAATGCTCTATCGCCTGTAACATTCTGACCCTGAATCTAGCCAGCCCATGCAATAACATTCTGACCCTTTAAATAGCTCCATCATCGTCTCGACATTCTGACCCCTAATTCAGCGCATGTAGTAACATTATGCCACCCAAAATAGTCACATCGAATTTGATTGGTCAGGTTTCCGGGTTATGGCTAGATTGGGTGGCAGAATGTTTTGATGCATACCGTAGCGAAGTCTAGATTCGATAAGTGCAAAATAAACTGACCTCCCAGCCTCGGCACCCAGTTCCCGAGTAGACAGCTTCACACCAAAGCAGCCTGAAGATATTTTCTTTGCTAAAGAAAGAAAATGAGGCTCAAATCTCAGTTCACGATCAACTGTAAGCCTAAGAAACGTAGACTCTGACACACTTGGAACGGGAACACTTCTAACAACCAAGCCATCCTAAGCACATCCGAAAGCAACCACCTTAGTCTTGTCAAGGTTGAAAGACAACATGTTGGCATCAAACGAAATCCTAACTTGTTTCAAATCTGACACAACACTGGCACTCAATGAAGCAACATCTGGGCAGTGCCACACAATGGTCGTGTCGTCCGCGAAAATAGTAAATTTGCCATAATTTTCAGACTTGCCAAGTGATTTATATACATAAGAAAGAGGAGGGGTCCAAGCACCGAACCCTGAGGTACCCCCCAGTTAATGGCATGGGATGATGAACAAGAAGTTCCCACATATACACGTTGCGTTCGTCCACTCAAGTAAGACTGAAACCACGAAAGAGCCACCCCTCTGATGCCATACTGACTGAGTTTACGCAGCAGAATATCATGGCTAACACAGTCAAACGCTTTCGACAGGTCGAAGAAAACTGTCGCAGTCACTCCACCATCATTAATGTAACTGAAAAGCATACTGACACAGCCCCCTACATTTAACAAGCCATGAAGTTAAAAAGGCAACACCGCAATCTTACCGCCAAGTGGTGCTGGTGGTGTTTGTTTGTATAAATATATATTTTTTATTTTATTAATATGAATCACAAAAAATACATAATTTATTGTACTAAAGGGCCAAAAACAGTAATTCGATGAATAATTTAACTATTTGTGTAAATAAGAACAGTAAATAATTGATTTAAATGAATATATTTCTAGAGTCTAAAGTGTTATAGGCCTATGTTTCAGTATGTCTTTTGAAAATCTAACTTTTTCTTTCTTCGGGATTTTTTCGGAAGGCAAGTCTATTCAAATACTTGAGCTGATTATCGAAAATAAGAGGTACCTACTTTTAAGAGTTGGACGTTTTAGTTTGAACTCTCGAACTACGCCTTTATCCTTGTTTGTTTCAAATCTAATTATTTCGGTTTCTTCAAAATGTTTACAACACACCACAGAATTTTTCGTTATTGTATAATCTCGGGTATAATTATCTTGGTGTATTGCTTTCATCCACATTTTTTGCACTTCAGAATTTTTTTGGAAATAAAAATGTTTGCATTTCTTCAGTTTTTAAGGAACTCCTAATAGTTCGATTTGCACCCAGGAACACAGTAGTTTCATGGCATTTGGAACAAGTTTAAATATCTTAGGTAATATATCGAGACCTATGCTCTTGCAGACAAATATTAATATTGTTTTTATTGTTTTACCTTACCTTACCTTCATTTTTGCTCCTGTACCCATTTGCTAAAAATTTGCAATCAAAGCACAAAGGAACAGGTATCAACTAAATATGGGCAATATATTGGTGTGTTTCTATCCACTTTTTCGTCAATAATGCCCATAAAAATACTAAATTGCAACAATACACAATGAAAGCAATACACAGAAACACATAACCCAATAACAAAATAGCACCATACGCGACGTTGCCGTCATCTCCAATTTCATGGCTTGTTAACTATAGGAGGCTGTGATACTGAGCAAATGAAACATAGCGTCAGCCGTACTCCTGCCCTCTCGAAATCCAAACTGAACCACACTCAGAATATTGTTCCTTCTCAAGAACGATGACAATCTTGACTTTACCATTTTTTCGATTATTTTAGATAACGTTGACAGAAGCGTAATAGGACGAAAGTTAGATGGATTATCAAGATCTCTGCCTTTGTGTAGCGGAATTACTTTAGCAGTTTTTAAGACTGCCGAAAAAACACCATTCAGCCAAGATGAGTTTATAGCTTCCATGAGCACTGTCAAAACAGAATCAGGCATGTTTAAAAAGACCTTAGCAGATAGACAATCAATTCCACATGAATCCTTATTCTTAACAGATAGAAGTGTCGTCTTAAGTTCCAACAAATCAGTAGGTATGAAGTAGAAGGAATTTCCGACAGATAGGAAAGTGGATCCACAGATTATCTGGACAGTCTCTCAGCAATGGTACAGTAGAACTTATTTAAGCAATCGGGCGACATATCAGGTTCATCTACTACCTTATGTTTATTACTGCGACGAATATCATTATTGATATTGCAGGTTTCTTTCTGTTTATTCCCTGATTTTCTCAAGCGGTCACGATAATACGTTTCCTTTGCTAAGGAAATCAATCTACGATACATGGAGCGGTAACTCAAAAAATATTGGTGGAAAACTGGACAGTACGTAAACCTCCTGATGGTATGTAGAGATTTAAGATTCTTTGAAGAAACCTTGAGACCTTTGGTAAACCAGGGCTTCTTGAGGGGTTTATTTTTAATAACTGTGATTTTTTCGTTCTTAATCCTCTTGTATTCTGATAATATACACTAAAATTAAAAAGTGCTGATTTGTTTAAAGAGCTGTTCTTCTTTATACTTCTAAAAAAGAATCATCCACTTGTGGACTTTGATCCATATCAACCTGGCTTTGAACATTCATATTCATATCACTATCCTCACTTGGGGCCGAATTTGATTCACTAACAGAAACGTCGAGTAGCCTGTCCAATGAGTGAACTGCAGTTAAAGTTAAAGTATCGAGCCTTGCCCACATTTCCTTGGTAGTCTTATCATCATCTTCTACATCTTTGGCTGTATCTACATCTTTGTCTAGGGATGTGCTGTTTACCAATGGAAAAGCCCTAACCAGCAATTTCGAAAAGCGACTAGTGTGTATTAGGCAAGAAGAGATATCCAACACACGGGTTGTTGA